TTCTTGCACATACTGCTTCCAAATCAAATACACATAATTCCTTCTAATTTGGAATTATTTTCTCTAGTTTTGCCACTGTTCAGTTTGTAAGAAATCTATTTATAAACACAAACACGACAGTACAAAACTGTAAAAATGTATATGCAGATGAACTTACGAGATTTAACACAGTGTTATAAACACATAATAAATGAGATCACTGATGTCTACAGAAACCATCTACAGAACATTCTGCTGCACAGAAGACACACAATAGAACAGTAAATGGCAGCATGGTAGCTATTTTATCAGATATAAGTACATTTCCTCTTTTCTTGTCTTCTGAAGTGCAGCATCAACATACAGCTAAAATAAACCACATGTAAAGAAATACTGTCCCTAAATCCACATAATTTAAACTGTGGAAAGGAGAATACCAATAACGCCATATACATTTCTTAAACAGTAGCAAGTGCACATAAGAATTTATGTGAAACAAAAATAGTCTTGAACATCTTATGGCCTTAAGCTGTGCCAGGGGAGGTTTAGACTAGACATTAGGAAGAACTTTTTCACTGAAAGGGTTGTCAGACATTGACACATGCTGCCCAGGCAGGTGGTTTAAACACATCCCTGGATGTGTTTAAAATTTGTCTACTTGTGGCACCTGGGGACATGGCTTAGTGCTGGACTTGGCAGAGTAGGGTTAACAGTTGGACTCGACGACCTTGAAGGTCTTTTCCAACCTAGGTGATACCGCGGTCTATAATCTCTTCTATAGAGAAGGGCCACTTCAGGCAATGATCAAAAATCCACAGCAATATAGCCTCCACAGTCTTTGCTTTCCAAGAATTAAATAAAACTACTGTTTCCAAGTTAATCTAATCCCAAATCTCTAAATATGATTTTTTTTTTTTATTGTTCCTTTCACTCCACTGTTGCTTCTATGGTAGCTTTTTCACAGAGGCTCTTGAAATACCCCAGACCTCACAACCCACAGTCTGCTCAATATTTCAAAGACAATTTGTCCACCTGTCTGCACCTTCCCTATTCAAAATACCTTATGATACTGTACTACTAGTTATGTATGATAACTAAACATCAGAGAATTTTGCTACAAGAAAGGTTTGAGTACATAAATGTATACTCACACACAAACACTCTACTAAATAAATACCACCACCATTACCTCTGGCAAGTGGTGGTTTCGAAGCAGACCTACTCTTAGTAGAGGGCAGTTTCAGAAGGAAAGTAGGACACAAAAAAAACACCTCTAGCCAGATTTTCAAAATTATGTACAACTGTAATATTACAACTGTAATAACTACATAAACTAAGTTACAGGTTTTTTTTAAAGGACAAGACTAGATCTTCAGATTACAGCCCCATTCAGCTTTAGGTTGAGCCAATAAACTACATTTGATCATTCTTCTGCTGAATTTATGGTTTTCAACATGAACCTACAGGGCTGGGCTTCAAACTGCAAGGCCCCATTTCCTGCAACTGCTCTGCATTCAAATTTTATATACTTTGCTTTCTGCTAACTTGCCTGCATTCTTCCCTTTCTAATTATCTCCCTCTCAGTGAAACTTTGTTTTAATTTTATTTCATATGTATCTTTTATAAAAGAGAGGCACTAAAGTGATGCTAAAAGAAGCAGCAAGAAAGACATGGAGGAATTTAAATTAGCTAATATGAAGAGTATTTTAGAGATTTATTAAAACTGAGCCACTCCAGGAAAAGCTTCATTGTCTTTTTGAGAAAATGTGTTCATCCGTATCAGGTACATCAATGGAACCTTTAGAGCTCACAATGCACTTCGCAGTGCTGAGGCTCTACTTTATGGCCATACTATAGTAAGGATGCTGCCAAAGCACAAAATGGTCTCCCTACTCTAGAGGAGGCTTGATAAGGAAGAAATACAAGAGTCTTGCCATGTAAGATCAGAGTAGCTTGTAGAAACACAGGTTAAAATGTCATGTCAGGTGAAGAAATTCTGTTAAAGATGCTAATCAACCAGAGATCCCTACCTTCAAGAGACAGCAGATTTTTGGGCTAGTTCCAAGGAGACCCTGCACTTAACAGAACTGCTGACATCTATAATCCATGTTGTGTAGGTAATGTTTGCTTCTAATAGTGTTACAACTTTATCTTCTCATGTGACAAAGGTACAAGAATACTATATGCTGAAATAAACATTTCTATTTTGCCTGCAGCCTAGAAAAACACCAAGCATTATCATAGGAAGTTTGGGTTGGAAGGGACCCAGAAGATCAGCTAGTTCCAGCTCCCCTGCATGGGCAGAACACCTTCCACTAAGCCCAGGTTGCTCAAAGCCATTAATTTTGGTCTTCAACATTACTGCCTGTTATCTACCAGACTGACACCATATAACACACCAGAACAAAGGTAACTTCTCAGATTAGACATGTGGCACGAGGGAAGCCTGGTTCTAAAAGGTGGTGTTTTATCTGAAAAGTGATTTACATCCTGGCCATGTGGAAGTAGAAGTGAAAAGAGACAAAAGTGAGGTTGGACTCTGGACTGTGCTGAGAAAGCCACTCATTCACCAAAGAAGTACAACCACAGAAAGACAAATAAACACTTATTACAAAGAGTAAGGTTACATGCAGTATCTATACAAGAAAGCATATAATTTAAAAAAATAAATTAAAAAAAGTAGTTTCCAAAAAAAGAATTCTAGAAATTTTTAAAAGTTGCAATTGTAAGTGAAGCATTTAAATACTCATTACAGCCACAGACAAATTATGAGTTAACAAGTTAATGAGTAAACAACTCCCCATTAATGAATTTGGAAACTAGACTTTTCAGTGCTTTATTGGAGAATCTGAAGCATGATAAACTCTGGAAAACAGATTTGTTATATGGAAAAAAAAATAATTAAGTGTCCAAAGTTATTTACAAAGTGAACACATAGTCTTGATGCTCTTAAAACAAGCAAACAAAAAACCTCCACCACCTAACAATAAACATTATAAACATAAAATAGCACCAGGGTTTTTAATGCAAGAGTCTGGGAACCTCTGTGTTTTCAATCTGGCTGACTTATTTATTTTAAGAACTTAGTATTTTATTAGCTTGTCTGAATGCACACAAGCTCCTTACACTTAGGTTATACTATAGATCTAGAATAAGGAGCTAAATTAGATGGTTTATATTGACTTTAGAGGTAAAACACCTACTTCTTAAGAACACGGTTTTAGAAAGTTAAGTACACGCAGAAATACTTGATTCTTGTAAGCAACTTTATCCCTTCAAACAAAAGGTAATAGCTAAGACCAACCCAAACAGATGAACAGAAAACAAGGAAAAATTCCAACCCCCCCAAAAGACTACAAAACGTTTCTTAATACAAAATGGAATTGTAGTATCTCAAAGACATCATTGCTTGCTGTGGTCCCCTCTTTCAGGTGTCCAAGGCCAACATTATTGGTTCTACAGTTACCCCCTTCTTAAGGGGAGCACTCTCTTAGGAGTGAGATTACAGTACTTAAAGCCAAAATAGCATGTGTTAGTCTGGAAATTTTATTAGTAATTTTCTAATAACCAACTGTACATCAGATAGAACCCAGTGGCTCTCCCTGTGATTTGTGAGCTTCTTTCTTCAAAGGAGAAGATGCAAAGAAGTTTTTCCAGCAAAGAGTAAAGACTAAGCTCATCATCATGCAGAAGCTTGTGGGGGAAAATAAATTTAGCTGTAAAGCTTTCCTCTTTCAGAGTTCAGATTCCACTGTCAAGGAAATCACTGATGTCCTGAGCATTAACGGACTCTGTCTTGTTCCTACAGCATGAATGGCCAGCATGTAACTGCTTTCATCGGTTGTTCCATCAGATGCTCATTACATGGCATCATCTGCACCTTCCGTGAGGATACTGGCACATGCTTTCCATCTGGGGATACCATCAGTTGAAGCAAAGGCATTGGACTGCCTGCCAGTCTTCAGTCTCCCAGAGTGTAATATGCCAATACACCAGGTGCTCCCTTCAGCTCCCTTCAGCTCTACCTTTGAGGTTTTAGGCTCTAGTCTTTGCAAGCCTGGCCAACGCAACAACACACAAAGAGGTCAGAACAACCTTCCACAGCTATCAGCATGGGTTCTCCTTATTTTTAAAGGCTAAATCTAGACAATTATGTTTTTCTTGAAATTTTGGCAGACTGCTTTTCTGACTAGGGTAACAATCACCACTATTCTAAAGTCTGTGTTAAAGGAATAAAAACAGAAAAAGGCTGGAAAAAAAAATAAATCTTTTCAGTCATTAAGGGAGCACAAGATCTGGAGGCATTTACAGACAACATACAGAAATCCAGTGATCTCCAAGCTGTATACATTAAATCCCTGGAATGGATGTCAGCCATGAAAAATCTGGGTCACTTCAAAGTCTAAACATGCAACCTTAATGTATTTTTTTCAGCTGTTTGCCTCATTATCACTTCACAGATCTGTTCACAATAATAGGGGGAAAAAAAATCTGTCAAGAAATAAAAAAGCCACCCCAGTTCCATATGCCAGGAAATTTATTAACTAGCAATCTATCTGCATTACAGAGATGGTATCTAATGATTTTCATGTACCTGTCACATGTCAAGCACCAGTCAAGAATTCTTAGTGCTGGTGACTTAACAAGCACATAAGCTGTAGATATGCCTAGATATGTACACATTCAAATCCTTAGGACACTTCAAAATGCCTTTTTTTTTTTTTTTTTTTTCAACAATTGCATAAAGAAACATAAAAAGGAATGAGAAGGAAGGCAAATTGGGGTGGCTCACTCATCAAAAGTATAGAACTACAGCTCTCTTTCAAGGGGATAAGTACACACAAAAAGTGTCAGGTTTCCTTCTTACCTGAAGACTAAATTCTTGAGAATTTAGGAAGACCAAGATACAAAAATGCTCACCACTAATATATGAAATAATGTCATGGATACTTACGTATCAGTTAAATGTATTTTAAAATAACCAATTAGTTTGAAACACAAATATGGACCTAAGTTCTTACCTGTCTCAACAGCTTCTCAACAGCTGACATTACCATGAGCCCTCTCCACACAACTGGTGCAGTCTCTTCTATCAAGAAACCCATAGACATGCTGAAACAACAAAGCCAAAATCTAAGCTTTCCACCACATCACCAAGTATATCTGTAAAGAAGCATGATTTAAATTGAAACATGTGCTCACCATGAGATTCCATAGTTCTTAAGAGGCCTCATTAGATTTTCTAAAACAAAAGCAAAGAAGGGTTTTCTTTGAGAGAGAGAATTAGTTTTGGGGTTAATTTTTACGTTTCTTTTAAATGAGATTACACTTTTTTTTTCCCCTTTTAAGAGAAGTTTTCCCTCTCTGTTAAAAACATTAATCTATTTTTCCCCACATCTCTTAAATATAGGTATAACTAAATTGATTCTACCCAAGAACCTGGCCCCACTTTTTCTTAGGTTGTTATATTTTACTGATACCATTCATCCTTTGCCAAAATAACAATTTATTTGCCCATAATATAATGCCACCGTGCTGCTGAAACCAAGACCTCATCTATTTGTATGAAAGGCCCATGCTGAGAGGCATAAATTCCCTGTCAGGCAGCCTTCTACATCTGTAATACTTCACTAAATGCCAAGTCATTTATATCAGAAAAAAATCCACGTCCTACAACATGATGTGATTTAAATATTATTTTTTAAACTATGTTCTTCACTAATCTCATTAATCAGAGGATCACTTCCACTAACACACCAGTGTTTTGGGGAATTCTCCTTGTGTTAAGACTGCTTTGGAACCCCTGAGAAGTCACCTCTTGGTAAGAGGTCCTGCAT